CAGTTATGGCCATTCCAACTTTTTTGAAGGTAATTCTCTCATTTTTTTGATTCTGGCTTTTATCTATTCAACATTAAATTTATTTTTTAACATTCATAGGATGTGGATGATCCTAATCCATTGATACGAGCCTTGGCCATAAGAACTATGGGGTATATTAATGTAGACAAAATCGTAGACGCACTAGTTGATCCATTACGAAGTTGCCTGCGTGATAGGGATCCATATGTTCGAAAAACTTCTGCAACTGCAGTAGCAAAACTTTATATGCATGATCAAGTCCTAGTTGAGAGTGAAGGATTTATTGATTTACTAAGAGATATGCTTGCGGATTCTAATCCTACGGTAATAATTTATATAAACATTATTGACTTATAATTCATTTTTTATATGTCATTTTCATTACTGTATTTTTTACATTTTATTTTCATTACTATATTAGGTTGTTGCCAACGCGGTTGCTGCCTTGACAGAGATATCAGAGAGATCAAATAGCACAACATTAAAATTAAATACGATCATCGCTAATAAATTAGCAGCTACATTAAATGAATGCACAGAGTAAGTTATTTCATTTTACAAAGATATGAGATTAATAAATATTTAAACGTCATAATTATATTATATTTCATTTCTAATGTAGATGGGGCCAAACTTACATATTAGAAGCATTAATGTCGTATGTTCCTCAAGAAATTGGTGATGCTGAAATATTAGCTGAACGCATCGCACCACGGCTACAACACGCCAATTCTAGTGTTGTTCTTACAGCAGTCAAAGTAATTATGTACTTAATGAATTATATGACCAAAGAGGAAGACATAGTCAATCTATGTCGAAAATTGTCTCCACCATTAGGTAGTATTTCCTTAGCAAAATTATGTATTAATATGTGAAATACAAAGCATAACGCAATTAATTAATCTATAAATTTTTGATATAGTTACACTACTTTCAAATGGACCCGAAGTGCAATATGTGGCACTTCGTAATATCCTTTTAGTTATTCAACGAAGACCAGAAGTCTTAAGAAATGATATAAAGGTCTTCTTTTGTAAATACAACGATCCAATATATGTCAAACTGGCTAAACTTGAAATAATGTTTCGCTTAGCTAGTGACACTAATGTTGATCAAGTTCTATCTGAACTAAAAGAGTAAGTTAAATACCGCTACAAATATTAAAATTATTTTAAAAATTTAATACTTTAATCTAATTATAGGTTTATACTTTTTTAAATCAGATATGCAACAGAAGTTGATGTAGATTTTGTCAGAAAATCGGTTCGCTCGATTGGTCGTTTGGCAGTTAAAATTGAATCAACGGCCGATCGTTGCATAGCTGCACTATTAGAACTTATACAAACGAAAGTTAACTATGTTGTTCAAGAGGCCATTGTAGTCATAAAGGTATTAACTCGTGTGCCTTACATTATTTTAAAATCCGTTTGATAATAATAAATATTATTAATATAGGACATATTTCGGAAATATCCAAATCAATATGAGAGTATAATCAGTACTTTGTGTGAAAATTTAGATAATCTAGATGAACCTGAGGCAAAAGCAGCAATGATATGGATCATTGGTCAATACGCTGATCGCATAGAGAATTCGGATGAATTGTTAGATGATTTTCTTTTCACATTCCTCGAAGAACCTGTAGAGGTATTATATACCAAATTATATGTAATATTTATATAAGATTTGTGATTGACTTTTTAAATTTTATATTCGCAGGTTCAGTTATCATTGTTAACAGCAACTGTAAAGCTTTTCCTTAAAAGACCTACTGCGGGTCAAGAACTAATTCCTAAAGTTTTAAAATGGGCAACAGAGGATGTTGATAATCCGGATTTACGTGATCGAGGATATATTTACTGGCGCTTATTATCAACAGATCCTGCCACAGCTAAGGTAACATTCCTCGAGTTTTATTATTAGATATATCACAAAACGGCATTTTCACTCAAAATGTATTAATAATTTACAGGCCATTGTATTATCTGATAAACCGCGAATTTCTACCGAAAGTGATAACATGGAACCTGCATTATTGGAAGAGCTTCTATTACATATTTCTAGCCTTTCATCTATATATCATAAATCACCACAAACTTTTATTCCAAATAGCAAAACTCGACACTTAACCCATTCACCAGTTCTAAGTCGAAGATATCTTGGACAGCATCAACAACCTAATTTACTCGATTCTGATATTGATAATTTAGCCTCAGGGTATGTCATTCATTATAAATTACATTGGTAGCAAAATAAACGGTACTAATTAAGTATTTATTTTACAGATCTCTTGGAATCAAGTCTAATCCTTATAATGTTGACGTTGTCAATATTGGTGAAAATTATGTTGGGGACCTATTATTAGATTTGTGATAATTTTATTTTTTTCAATTTAAAATAATTTAATTTGTACAATCTATACTACATTTAATGTATCTAAATTGGATGTCCAAAATTACTGATAAATAATTGATAAAGAATGTATTTCCATAGAAGAAATTTTATTTAATGTAAATAAATTTCTAAATTTATTAGATATTAAGCTTTTTTCGATTAAGAATATAATTGTTATTATAATTTTAAATAACTGCATTACCCGACCTTTTGAGGGTAATAATAGTCTAATTACGGTAAGTGCACACTATAAATACATGCTCTATACAAATTCTTCTAAATAAATGGTATAGGTTAGTCCTCGCTTATAAGAGCCCTATATTTTTTTTCTTTATAAATGTAAGCTCTTTAAATATCATTTAAAACGAAATTCACTTAGAGATATTAAAATAAATATGTTTTTTTTTTTTTTTGAAAGAAAAAGATTATGATCAAAAATTAGTAAACCGCAACTTTTTGGAGGGTGAAAGTCAAATTAACCAAAACCAATTCCAAGCAACTCTCTCATATGACCTGTGATCAAAGGTTGAGAGCATCCTCTTGGCCACCTAACATTAATCCCAAATATTTTTTGCATTTCCGGAATATAATGCTGAAAATAATTAAATTGATCCTTGGACAATTGCCCACGTCTTAAACCACCATCAGGCCAATCTATTTTTGGATGATCTTTATGATATATAAAATGTTCTTTCAACACAAAAAATCTATACCCTAATGCATTAAGTGAAAATGCATGTTGTTGTTTGTCACCACCTTGATTACGAAATCGTTCATCATATAATGGAGCATTTTTAGATATAATGTAATACGGTTCCCATTGAGATTCATAACAAACCTCATAATAAGGTAATGTAGTGTACAATTGATGAGCAAGAAAAATGTTTGTTCCAGTTGGACCGTGACCTACGTTCGGATCAGTTATATAAGCAATACCTTGGCGAAACAAACTTTGTAATTCCGGAATAGTATTTGGAAATTTTCCACGATAGGTTTCAAGTAATGCAACACATGGAACCACGAAAGCGGTTGGATAGGGTGATTGCAGTAATAAAGGGATTAATGTAGAAGTTGCAATATGGTATAATTGAGAAGTTGGAACAAAATCTGCATCCATGACAAAAATATAATCCGTTGGTGCCGTTTTGATTCCAATATTTCGAAGTTTGTTGATTGGATATTTTAAATAGTAGTCTGTTGAATAATCGGGTTTAATTATGGTTAAAGAAACGCGATTATAAAGGTAGATGTTTTTATCCATTTTGAAATAATCGATAAGTGTATGAATATCATGTGGATTGGTAAGATATCTAAGAATGATAAACATTAAAAAAGGTATTAAAATTTATGTCATATAAATGAATTGTTTTTTTCTTTTTTTTTAAACTCACATTACAACAGAAACAGGGCCAGGCCAAGAGGCTAATGCTTGTTCAAAACGCTCTAATCGATTGACGGAAAATTGAGTAATAAGAGTCACATCGTTATTGAGAAAATGTAGTTTTGACCTATGATGGTGAATTACTTCTTGCATATTATTCTCGTCCGCTATTAAAAATAATATATATATATAAATATATATAAAGATCATGTAAACCAAATTCCTTAAAACTTACTGATTTTAGCTATTTGTTCTAGAGCAAGTCTTAAGTCAGCTAATATAAAATAATTCATGACATTAAAATTATTTTATGCTGAATAAATGAAATTGATTAAGTAATAAAATATCAAACCTGAAATATCTAAGCGTGCTACCAAATTACAGAATTCTTGAGCCGTACAATTCGTAAAACCCAAAGGAATCGTTAAACGTTTATCTTGAGTGACCAAAACTACACTCATGCCCATTGGAACTTGAATCGTTCTTATATTGTGATAAATGTGTTCTCTCTGTAAATCACTATCCTTCCAATACTTTGGTTTCCAGAAAGAACAAACATTGTTATCATTGCAAATTTGGACTTTGTTGAAAGAGATATTGACTGAAGATTCTACTCTGAAATTATTTTGTATTTCAGCCAAAGCTGAGTTGGAATTTATCCAAGTCAGAAAAAATAAAAAAGGAAGTGAAAGAATAAGACATACGAGAACAAGACGTCGTCTACGAAGAAGTGAAATAAAATGTTGTATTATACGAATGGTTTTTGAAGCAAATTTTTGCTCAAACATTTGTTAGCGACTGGAAAGATCAGATGTATACGTATTTGATCACATGTAATCATGTCGATGTATTTTAATAACATACAGAGGACGGATTTTGTTTTTAATATACCGGTAGATTACTCTATAATAAAGCTACGTTATTGCCCGAAGCGTAACGAGAACTTTACGATGTAGATTATGTATGTGTTTATTGCTACGTAAGTAACCTTGTTTCTACATTTAAAAATATATATAGTTTATTGTACTTGAACATGTTTATAAATTTTTAAACTGGTCTCACCATTAATATTCAAAAAAAAAATAAATTTTTAAACTGAACCTGAACTGAGCCTGAACTGATTTAAAAGTTTAATATTGAACTTGAACTAACCTTTATTTTGAAATTGACTTATAGTTTGTTAAAAAACCAGAGTACAGTACTTGACACCTATTCTAAATCAATTGATTAATGATACGTGGTATCATCTATACTTTGACGATCATTATGATATTTTATAGAATTAGCTCATACTTTACATTTTGCATAATAGCTAATTAGAGCCTAAAAGACAGTATACCGTAAATTCTCGAAATAACGGGCAGGGGCGTTAATTCGAAAATCGCGCGCCCTAAAAATAGCATAGGTGATTTCTAAATAACGCCCATGCGCGTCCCGAAATAACGCGCATCTAATAGTAAGGGGTAGTAAAATTTAAAAAAATGCTCCGGAACTAGTTTGGTACTATGTAAATCTACTTTTGAGCTTTAACAAAAGTTTTTCTTCAGATCGAGACGGTTCTAATAGTGATAAGTTTATCAAAAACGACTCAGTATATCGTCAACAATGGCTCCCCTAAACAAAGATAAACAAACGTTGCAAAACTTCGAAGAGCCATTGCGGACGATATACTGGCCGTTTTTAATGAACAACTAGTTTCGGAGCATTTTTATTTATTTACTTTTTATAAAAAATATATTTAATTTTATATTTGTTTCAAAATAACGCGCAGATGCCCGTTATTTCGAGAATTTACGGTAAATGGGGGGTTAGAAGAAATCTGCCTTGTACTGGGCACACCTTGGGAAGATTCATTCTTGTATTAGTTATGCTTAGAGTAATTTTCTTATCTTGCACATTGAAATAAACCGTTTGTCTTTCATAATTAATGCTTACTGCGCTGAGCTGATTTGTCTGGAATCACAAAACGCTCTCCCAAATCGTAATAGCGGTTTGCCTGACTATATAATAAAAATTAAGCATTGTTTCTATCAGAAACAAAAAAACATCCACAGGTTTATTAAAATATTTGAGTGCAAAAGTACCGAAATAAACCTTAAATTCTAATCAACAACTTTTTAATATATATGTTGTGCCTCAGATCGATGCTCGCGTCAGGTGACAGCTGACGCACCTCAGATATCAATCATTAGATGAGGTACCTCAGGTGATCTGAGGTGCGTCAGTTATTATCTGACGCATTTGATTTTGCACTATTTTTTAAAGCGTATCCATCTTTATTTAAATATTTCATTTTCTACAACAGTTAACAAATTATATATAAATCGCATAAGTTATTTATCTACTCTTTATTTTGGCATGAACGCCCACCATGACATCTACTGCCACATTTACCGCCGCTTTTTTTACAGCGACACCTATTATTACTACAGTCACTTTTACAGCTACAAATTGCACATGATGGACCCATACTTTGGAGCCGTCCTGCTTCCCTGATTGATATTTTATTTGATGGTATGATGTCAAGTTCGGGGAAGCTAGTAGTGCCCAAAGGTTCAAGTTCACTAGCGAAATAAAGAACTTCAATAATTCCAAATTTTGACCCCAACTGATACTTGTTATTTTCAGTTTTGTCAAGTATTTTGCATGGAAGGGTTGGCCGATCAATACTAAATCTGTCAATTTTGGGAATAGCCACCCTTACTAAATCGTTAATCTCATATCCTGTTAGTTTTCTTTTACCCTTGGACATTTGTTGAACCATTTTTTTAGTGTATGCCTTGAGACTTTGACGAGCAGATTGACGAAAAATTTCATGCCCACTAAGGTTGTTAGTAACATCTGCAAGTTGTGTAGTAACACCTTTAGGTGATGTATTCGAAGTATTGTTGTCTCTAGTATCGTCGATATCTATTGCTAATTAATAAATACATTCATTATTACTAATATAATACAATTAATCAACGCATATAATTATATTTGAGGTTGAATTTAACAATATTTACCTTCAAGATCATTATCTAAGCTTTCAATATCATCAGAATTTTCTATCTCAATCGTTTCAGGTATGTCTTCTTCGTCCCGAATATTTTTTAAAAATAATTCAGCAATTAATGTGCAATTTCCGCGAGACTTATTGCCATATACTAGCTTATATGGAGTCTTGTTGTGAGAACGACAGTAGCTGTTGTTCATTGATGATATGACAAACCGAAGCCCGAATGACCAATCACTTCGCCCTGTATCTTCTTTCCA